AGCTAAGAGATTCAGCATGCCAGCTTTTAGTTTGGTCATAAGGTCTTAGTAAAACATTACACACCTGAGTGAATCTTAAACAAAGGAAAGATACAAACTCCTTCCTGGGCAGTCCTGTTTGGAGATGCCAGGCTGGAAGGAAGCCATCATGGTTATCCATCCTGCAGTCAGCTCCACATTCATTTCACTTTCACATCTGGCTGCAGTGATACCCTCGGCAGATCAATTTGCTGTCTACAATTTTTTGAAGGATTTATGGACAGCCTACTTTGCACATCAGCACCTAATGACTTGTCAGCCTCTGCTCTCTACATTCTTAAACCATCACTTAGCTAAAATACAGCTTATTTGCTAACTCTAGTCAACTTAAGTGATGCACCCTTTTTTGACAAACACCCAATTCAACCAAAACCTCACTTTTTATTATCATGTTCAGAAATAACATATTGTTTCTCCTAGACCCTACCTCCCCAGTATAAGCAGAATCACAAAAAACTGATAAAAAGTTTCACATCAAGAGTCTAATGAAGTCTGTTTGCAGCTCATACCTTGACCTTGCAACTGAAAGCCTGGGCCATACAACTCCACAAACATTCAGACTTAGAAAATATATCAAGTTCCCTCAGAAGTTGGTTTATATGACAGAATCCAGATATTCAGACAATGCAATTTCTCAGCTGCAAGTAGGAACTATCCTGATGGTTTATGAAACTTCTGACATTTCCCATACCTTAAAGAACTGCAGAAATAAAGCTAGCTTGAGATATCTCACAAAATTAATTATTGACCTTTGAAACTGAAAACAGCTTTTGACCTAAAACCAAGACTATTACTTGCCTCTGAAACTCCACTCAAGGTTAGTTATTTCTCAGTCCAGATCACGTGCATTCTACTGGCAGGCTGAAAGGATAACAACTGACCTCCATTATCCCAATGAATCAGACCCAGGGAGTGGGTTACAGAGTGTTACAGTTTCTCCTTACAGCATCAGTGTTTCCAGAAATTCTCTTATGTCAGAGCTGTCAAATAGGGCTTACAGAGGGCCAAGGAGATCTGTCAGGCAGCTTTGTCTGGTCAATCATTAACGTGCATTTAATAGCATTATTGTACAACCAGAAAAACATCATATGGTAACCGTCCACAAGAAATTACGCTATTATGACATGGAAAATACACAGCTCATCTTCAGAAAATGCCATGTTTGGACAAAGACTAATGTAAAAGGTTAACTTGGGGAAAAAAAAAAAGAACTCAGTAATGTTTTCTTCCTTCTGAAAAGGTTCCTTTTATATTTTTTTTCCGTATTGCCCAATTCTACCAATTTTAACTTTTGTGACTTTGTGGTTCATCATTCATTCCTAAACAGTTTTGGGGGCACTAAGTGAATTCTCAAGAATTGATTTACAAAAAAATCAATGCAGTTCTGTTCAAGTTACAGGTCCTTGATTTTTTTAAAAAAAAAGAAAAGAAAAGAAAAAAAAGCTACAATCAAATATAAACATACCTTGCAAACGTTATGTCTATAACCTTTGTCTAAGACATCCTCAGTAACACTCAAGAGTAAGATATAGAAAGCATATATTTAAAATGATTCACCAATCAAGCAAGAAAAATGGATTTCAATATAGCTCTGCACCTATTTCAACATATAACAACATGGTAATTTCTGAGCCATATGAACAATGCACCCCAAACTCAAGACCTACAACATTATGCTTAAGCAGAGACAGTTTAAATCTTACCTCTTTCTTAAATGATTTAACAACAATAACAAAAAAGTCTGAGTTTTATTAGCAGACCTTTAAAAGGACATCTGCTTTTAATATCTGACACTAGCTAAATGTGCTGGACTGAGTGTCTGAACACAGATCCTACAGCTCTTTTTACGCCATTTTAAGATGGACTTGTATCCATGAACAGCAAACCATTGAAGGCTGGGAGAATATTTTACACAATCATTGCTATGTATTTGCCCTGTTTTGTTTTGTTTTTTTCTTCCCTAAACATCTACTGTCAAACACTGCTGAAAACAGCGTATTGGATCAGAGAGTACCTTCTAGTCATCTTTTAATCTTACACTAATTTGTGTAAGATTAAAATAACTAATTAAAATAACAAAATAACTAAAACCAGTCTGGGATTTGATCAATTGTCCAATTAATTGTATTAAAGGACAATTCAAACAGCTGAAAAGTTCATTTTGTTCTGCTTAGAATAACTTAGAAATTACATGAAAATAATCCCCCTAAAAGTGGGCAAATAAAATTATGGTTGCCATCTTCTGAAAAAGAATGTACTTTATTTTCTAGCTAGAAAATAAGAGGAAGCAACATTATATGAAGGCTATAGAACCTGCGTGTCTTCACCAATTTCTCATCAGCTACTATTTTAGCACTGCTTAACTGCCTAAATACAGTGTATTAATAGAATTATCGAAAAAGTTGTAATTTGATGTTAACAGACGACAAACATTGATAAGCAACATTTATCCCTCTCCTTTATAAAGGGAAACTCAGGAAAAAGTTATAACTTTTAAAGACAAAAGAATCTGCTTGCTGTCAAATAAAATCCAGGAACACTCAAATGAGGATGTATAAACTTAAATTAACATTTCTGCTAAAGGGAATGCTGTATTTAGTTAAAATGGGTCAGTGTAGACTGGCTAAAGTACTGGAATCTCTTAAACTACTTGTGGGGGAAATGGGGCCAAGGGAACTCACATGTAAGGTACAATCAAAGTAGCATATAATGACATTCTTATATTAAGGTAAAGAGGCAAAGCATAGCTATTGCTGAAGATTTTGCAGGCCCAGGCCTGTTTAAAAAGCACCATGCATATGCTCTACTCTTCACTTAATGATTTAGCAAAATAAAATACAATGGAACTACACTAATCAAACTGAAACAGTCTGGAAAATAGGCAAATGTTAATACATTATTTCTTCAGATTTTTTATCCCTTTTCAAAGCAATCTTACCCATGTGTGATCAAGGATCACTGTTCAAAAGTGTTTATACTAGTAAAGGAAAAAATCACTTCACAAAAATGTGCTCTATTTTGATATTTCAGATAAAGATGTAGGATGGAAGTTGCTACTTCCACGAGTTCCCTGTGGAAATCAAGTTTTACAAAAGCCATCTCCCTTAGGTATCCAACTTTTCAAAACTTCATGTCAACTACACACTTTTAAGTGATAAAATGTAGACTGGATCTTAAATAACTTCTACCTTCATTTGATGTTTAAATACTTTCTTCTAGTTAGAAGAAAACTCCAATTTTAAGTCTCTAAGCTATTTATTAATTCTACAGGCAGTGAAAATTATGTTGATGCACACAAAGCACTTCAGCAATTCTGACCGTTGTGCTTAAAGCTGTAGCCTGCTGCAGTACAGTAATGTTTTCAGATGTCAAATACCAAACTTGGCTTAAAAACCCCCGTGTACGGTTGATTTGAAAACTTTTAACAATATCTAAGAAGCAGGTTTGGTTGTGGGTTTTTTTTGTTACTAAAAAACCCATAAAACAGCCCCCTGCTGCTTCCCCTTAGTCAGTATGAAGTCTACATGTTTAGGATTATAAATTAAAAAACAAATTCAGATCACCATTTGCTGCCTTCGCTTTCTGGGAAGCATACACCAGCACCAAAACGTGGCAAGTATTTCTACAACCTAGACATGTTAGGAATAAGAACAGGGCAAAAGCATACCTGAAAGAAATGACACATTTCTTTGGCATGACACTGAAACATCTTTCCTGGTAAAGATAATGTAATCCAATCATGCAAAAACTTTTCAGATACCAATTCATCCTTTTGGAGAGGAAGATAAAGAGACTGGTAATTCCATCACTTGGAGATGGAGCTTCCAAAATGTATTTTGTGATCCAGAAGATATGAACTTAATGTTAAGATGAATGAGCCCCAAACCTGCATGCAGCTCAACAATGGCCAACTTCTACAAATATGTGAAATCCTAGAACTATCACAGGAACTCCTGCATGTTCTCCATTTCTTTTCAGGGGGAAAAAAAAAAAAAAAAAAATCAAATATCCTTTTATTTTAACCAAGCCATATCCTGTTGAAGACAGACATGATGGTACCTCCCTCCAACTCTCCTCTCTTTTTTAGGGCACTGTTTTCAAAGCACAAATAGGGGAAAGGAAAAGAGCGTATAAACACAACCAGCTACCATGGTGTAAACACACGAAAATAAAATCTGCATATAGCTTTATTGACGCATTACTAGTTAAACAGCTCCCAAGCAGATAAGCCTACACCACAGGCACTCCGAAAAGAAAATTATTATCCAGTTAATCTGTCACTTAAAACGTTAACGTTTGAAACGCGCTAGAGGCGAGGAGGAAGCGGGGGAAGGTGATCTATAAAAGTCGCTTGAACTTTGCTGCCAGATCGCCAGGCTCCGGCGCGCCTCCCGGGAAGCAGCCGCCCCCCTCCCGGAGAGGGGAGCTGGAAGGCCGCGGGCGGCGGCCGGGGACCTCCCCACCCCAGGGAGGCGGCGGCCCCCGTAGCAGAGCGCCAACCTTCCCGCCGCTGGCCGTTACCTCAGGCGGCGACAGCGGCCCGCGCGGCCCTCGCCCCCCAGCACTCCGCCGCCTTTGTCCCCCCTCCCTCCCTCCCTCCCTCCCTCCCTCCTCGCCCCTCGCCTCAGCCCGCCGCCCCACTTCCCGGGGAGCCCCCACCTCTGCCAGGTCAGCCAGGCGGTCCTTCATCCCCGCAACGGCTCAGCGACCCCCACGGGGCTCCCCCGGCTGCTCCCGGCTCGCTGCAGAGGGCGGGCCGCCCGGCCCGCCGCCGCCGGGGCCGCCTCCTCCTCCGCTCCCTCCCGCGCGGCCGCGGACTGCGGACACCGCGCGCCACCGCCCCGCGCTCCTTCCGCGGTGCGAGCGGCAGCGGCCACGCCCCGCCTCGCCCGGTCCCGCCCGGTGTCCCGGCGGGCACGGGCCGCGCCGCGCATGCGGGGAAAGGGGCGGGGAGGAGCGTGCGCCCTGGTGGGCGGGCGCGGCAACCATCGGCGTGGGGCAGGCGCCTGGTGTTGCGGGCGTTACGGCGAGACCGGCTGTTCGGGCGGGAGCGGCGGCGCCGCGGCCCCCTGAGGTAATTCCTCGGCTCCGCCGGAGCGTTCCCGCTCACCGGCGGCGGCGGAGGAGACGGGGTGGCAGAGCAGGCAGCCGCGGTCGTAGCGGCGAAGCAGGATGCGGGAGCGGTCGGGAAGGTATGGCTGAGCTGAGCACTGCCACAGTGGTGTTGAAGAGGGGCGCCCGAGGGAGGTGTCGGCGAACTGGGGCATAAGCGGTGCCGGGGTTTGTGCGAGGAAACGCCCATCCCAAGGAAGCAGCGCGGCTGGACAGATCCCAGCAAGGATTATAAGCCACGCAGTTCTGGGGGGCTGTCATGAGGGAAAGAGTTGTAAAAAGTTGTGATAGGTTTATTTTTTAGTTGAATTTTATTGAGTTATTTTCCGGTACGTGATGTGGGTGGGCTGCAATCGGACTTGGTGTAACTGATGTCTAGTCCAAAAAGCGTACAGACTGAGTCCTCTTTTTGCCGACACTTCTCATCACAGGCCACGGACACGCCCCTTCACTGTTTCCTAATGTTGAGCTGTGGCTTGCAGCCCGCTCTTCACCGGCAGAACAGCTAAAAGTGATCTGTATCATGGCTGGAAATTAAAAGAAAGCTGTACACTTCCATTCCGTGGAGCAGAAGATGACCCACTGACTTACTTTAACTCTTTAGCTAAAACATGTTGGCACACATTGCCTGTTCTTGATGTTTAGGGCTCTAGTAAAACACCAGAACTTTGCCAAAGTCCTAAATCTGTACAATAACAGGTATGTCTTAAAGGCCTGGGAGTTTTTAGGAAACAAAGCATGCACATACTAAGGAAGGCAGAAAATCTTTGGTGGTATTGTGTTCTTCGGTGCCTGCATAAAACTACTTCAGACTATAGTCAATTACCTGTAATTATTAGTATCTCATTTCTATTCTATATAGACTTTATCTTCTAGACTACATGTCAAACAACTGTAAATTCTAAAAATGTTACTTTTGGATACTGAGAGTAATAATCCAATGCATAATTTTCCTCATGTCTTTAAAGAATTTTATTCCACTGCTGGACCATGAATTTAAAGGTTCTGAATTATCAATGTAAGCCTTTTTAATGACAGTAAATGCTGAATTTTTCTTTTCTGAACTAATTTAGAACTATATCTGCCCTTCATCACTGATGCAGTAGATGGTTATCTTTCAAGAGTGTAGTATCCTAACGAAACCTAATCAGACGTGTTTTACTCTGTGAAAAGGTGAATGTTTGTCTTTTTAATATGTATTTTGATTGAATTTTGCTACAGTATGATCCAGTTGACCTATCCATGCTGGAAGTGACTAATTTCCTCTTCAAGCCTCTTAGTGTAATTTCCTGTCTCGCCTTGAACACCAGCGTACAGACCTCCGTTCCTGCCCAAGTTCCTGAGACGTTTCCGCGGTCACTGCTTTAACTGGGAAGTACAATTGGGTTCCTTTTCATTGCTTGCCTGCATATATTGTTCCCTTTGTTTACAGTTTACAAAATTATTTTGCTTCCTACTAATACAGGAGTTATCAAATATGTCGTTTAGCTCTATGACTGTTTATCTCCAGTACTACCTTTTGTACCATTCCTCATTTGCATCTTCAGACACTTAGTAAGGGTGGCCTTTTACTTTGTGCATTTATCTGCGTCAGTGAGTTGCTAAGTTTGTTCACAGTTGACCTGAGTTAAGATATAGAAAATGTTTAGATATTTTAAAAGTAATTATTCTGCTGATGACGAAGTGATATCTTATGGACCCTAAACCTTTAGATAGTGATATAACACTGCTGATGAGTGCTTGGAAGTGCTTTGTTGCCTTTGCTGAATGGGGTTATCTGGAGCAGATGTTTTGTGGATCCTCTGAACTGAACACTTACTTACACATGATGATAAAACAGATGATAAAAACTAGATTCCGTGTAGTAATTTATCTTTGTAACAGTGAAATAAATTTGATCCAGGAGCTCAATGCTATGATAGGGGATTTCTAATTAGAAATCTATTTTAATTATTCCAAATTAAAGTACCAGATAGTATTACCAACACTTGAAAATTGACATTGTTATTTTGTTTACAGGAAAAAAAAAAAAAAAAAAAGTAGTTTACTAATAAATTTGTAACAATATTGAGAAGTTTCTAAAGTACACTTCTATACAGAGTGCTTTTTTTTTCCTGGAAGTGTTTATATTCTTAAAAACTGCCATATTCCACTAATGCAGCTTTATGTGCTCCTATTTATAAATGTATGCCTATTTGTCAAGAGTGGTAGGATTCAGAAGGGTTTCATAAAGATAGCATTGTGCTGAGAAAAATCCGAGTTACATGTTCTGAAAAATATCCTTCCTGACACCTAGAGGCAATCAGCAAAAATGCTAAAAATGCCACAAACCCTACTTGTCCAAAGAAGGAAAGGCAAATTCAACAAGCCAGTGATTTTTCCAACAAAGAAGATCTTATGCAACATTTGGTTTGGCATTACACTATCAAATAACCAAAAATTACAGCACAGTGCACCCACTCTTGCAAAACTTTGTGTATATGTTGCATCTGTGTCTGTAGAAAATGAACAAGAAATAAGTTATATTTCTATATATCACCTGCCATTAAATATTTTCTATGTTAATTCAATCCAGAGGTATTTTTTTTTAAATCATGTATTTAGTCTAGATTATGGTGTACACCAACATTATGCAACCACATGAAAGTTGTTTAAGTATACTTAAGCACCAAAAAACAGGGACCTTAAAAATCAGTGTGAACCCACAAACTTGACATTTATAGACCTATACAAGGCACTGAGATCATTGAAAGTCAGTTTTTGAACAATTTTGTTCCACTGAAGTTTGAACTTGAGAGTTTAGAGAACTATTCAAAATCCAGGGCTTACAAAACAACTTTTGTTTTCACTAATGCACTCTCTAGTGAATGCAGATCAGTTTGTACCAAGAACTAAAAATAATGGTTGTGCTGGGTTTTGGTAGCAGGGGAGGGGGCTACAGCGGTGGCCCTTCTGAGAAGCTTCTCGAACCTCCCCCAGCTCCAAGTTGGACCCTCTGTCCATGGCCGAGCCAATTAGCAACAGTGGCTGCCCCTCTGTGATAATGTATTTAAAAAGGGGAACCTGAGAGGGGTTTGGGACTAGTGAAGAGGAGTTAAAAGAAGGATTAACAACCAGGTCAGTGGAAGGAAGGAGAAGGAAAGGGGGAGGTGTGCCAGAGCAGAGGCCCCTGTATGCCACCTGTGGTGAGACAGCAGCGCTATCCCCGCTGCCGCCGATGGAGGATAATGATGGAGCAGAGGCCGAGCTGAAGTCTGTGGAGGAGCCCACACCAGGCAAGGCATATGTGCTTAGGGGAACCCAGGACTCAGTGGAGAAGAGGCCCCCACTGTTGTAGCTGGGCGCTGGGAGGACTGCAACATGTGGGGAGGACCCACACTGGAGCAGCACGGGAATGGCTGCAGCCTGTGGGGAGGACTCATTCCAGAGAAGGTCCATGGAGGACTGTCTGCAGTGAGAGGGGAGCCCCGTGGAGCAGGGGAGGAAAGTGTGGCGCTCACCCCACCTCCCGAGAAGAGCGCCAAGTGACTGTAACCCCCATCCCCTGCACCACTGGGGAAGGAGAGAGACTGGGAGCAGAGCTGAGCCCTGGGAAAAGGGAGGGGTGGGGTGAAGGTGGTTTTTTTTTGGATGTGGTGGCAATTCTCACTGTCCCACCTTGTCTGTTAAGGGTTGTTTTTATTAGCATTGGAATTAAAGTGTTTTCTTCCCCTAATGAGTCTGTCTTGCCTGTGACCCTAATGGGTGACCTACCCCTCCCTGTCCTTACGTCGCTTCCTGAGCCTTTTTTTGCTTTATTTTCTCCTTCCTGAATGGGAAGGGGTGAATGAACGGCGGCGCGGTGCATACAAGATCAGTTTGTACCAAGAACTGAAAGTAACGGTCCTGAGGTACGTTTAAGGAAAGCCCCTTTGAACACAGCCATTTTCACCTGAAAGCTGTTACATTAAATTCTGCTGCTTTTCCCGCCCGGCCCGTTGGGGACGCGGCACACGAGCCCCCTCAGGGCCGGCGGCCGAGCAACGTCCCGGGCGCCCGCCCGCCCCTTGCCACGTGACGCGCGACCCCTCCCCCCTCCCCGTGGCCGCGCGGCGTCGCTCTCCGGGTATTTGAACCGCGCTTCCGCCATCTTCCTGCCGCCCAGTCACTGAGGGGAGCGACGCGGAGAGAAGCCTCGGGAAAGGTAACGGGGTTGGGCCGGCCTCCGCTTCCTTCTGTGAGCGGGCGCGGGGAAGCGTGGTCGCTTTAAGAAGCGAAGCGGTGGGGGGATGGCGGTCGCCGATAGCTGCCGCCTGGGAGCGGGGGTAGGGGGTGGGTTGGGTTGCGGCGAGGCTGGGCCCCGAGTGAGTGCCGCGGCTGGAGTACCCGAGTTGCGCGGCGTCCTTACTCCCCTCGGGATGGAGGAGGTGGAAGGGTAGGAGCTGTGCCCCGCTTCCCCACAGATAAAAGGGCGGGCGAAGTCTGGGAGGGGGGAACAGAGCGGGGCCTCCAACGGCCCGAGCCCGCGGGGGGGAAGGGAGGCGGCGCTGCTCAGTCATGGTGGCTCATGGCGGGGAGAGCGCGTTAGGCCCGGGGCGGGGGGGGCTGGGGCCGCGCTCCGCCCGGGAGCCCCGCGGGACGCGCTCTGGGCGCTCCCGCTCACCAGGCGGGTTCGCGGGAGGGATGGGATCCTGGTTCGGGGTGGGCTGCGGAGCGAGGCTGGGGTCGGCTTTCGCTGCGGTGCCATTTGCACGCCGCGGCTCCGTTTCCCTTTTTTCTCCCCCCCTCTCCCCCAGGCAGCAAGCCGGAGGGGTGCGGCGGCAGCCTGCCGTTACGGGGCTTCGGGGGTGGGCGGGGAGGCGCCGCCGCCATTACCGCGCGCACTCCCGCCGCATGCGGGGAGGCGCTTCCTGGCCCGCGAACGGGCCCGGGCCCACGCGTGCCGTCAGCCGCGCCGCCGGGGGGGGGAGCGGCGGGGGCCCGGCCGCCGCCTCCGCGCTTTCGGGGGACGATTCGGGAACAGAAAACGGCGGCCGGCCCCTTCCGGCTGGGCCTTGGATCAGCTCGCCCGTTGTGAGCTCATATGCTGCCATTTCCCCTGCAGACCCAGCATGGCCGCCCAAGGAGAGCCCCAAGTGCAGTTTAAGGTAAGGGAGTGGTTGTGTGGTGGTGGTGGTTGTTTGTTTGGTTGGTTTTTTCCTTCAAGTACAAAAGCGGCATGAGCGACTCAAGTGCTAACGTGGATGGTAGGTTTGCTTGCAAAGTGCTAGTCTTCCCTTAACGGTGCAATTAGTTTATTGTAGTAGTGCATATAACTTGCACAAAAAGATTCCGTTGCACTGATCTGATCTGATGTAATTTATAGTTTAGTGTAATAAATTTTAGTGATGCTTTGCCTATAGAATGACTTTTAAATTTCAGAAGTGAAGTTCACATCAAAAAGTGCTTTGAGTGAGTTAGAATAGTCTGCTTTCTGTTGTATATTAATTGTTTAGGGAAGAACTTGAAATGCTTCAGAGCAGAATTTTCTGGTGTTTTATGTGGGTAGCTTTTTAATCAATTGTCAGAAGTCCTTAAGATTGATCTGTGAAAAGTTATTACTTGAGTTTCTTACAATACTAGGCGAGAGTATCCCAGATGTTCATAGTGCAGTCATTTTGCTTTTTTTTTGTTTGTTTGTTTTGTTTTTTAATTGTAAGATTATGGTGGTTTTATCCAGTTCGGGTGCGTGAGTGAGATCCTCTCTAAGTATGGTCACATTCAGGTTGAAAACCCCAAGTACTATTAATTCAGTCACTTTGTAGTTTAGCACATTCACACTGCATTGTAGTTTTCAGCTACAGGAACTAGGTAAGTCTGACTGGAGTTACAGCATAGTAGGCTTAACAGAATGGGTCCCAGTACAGTGAGTTGCTTCATAGGGAATTCAGTGTTCTGTTTACAGCATCTTGTAGGACTAAGGTCTTTGTGGTAATAATTCATATTTACACTAAAATGACCAAAAATTATATCTAGAAGTGTATTACTCTGACTCTTGCTTTATTTATCAACAGCTTGTCCTGGTTGGTGATGGTGGCACTGGTAAAACAACATTTGTGAAACGCCATTTGACTGGTGAATTTGAAAAGAAGTATGTAGGTATGTCTGAAGAAACATTTGAAATCTAATATGTTAAATTAGAAGTGTAATTCATGACTTGCTAAGTGCACTGCTTTTTCTTATTACTACAGCAACCCTGGGTGTTGAAGTTCATCCTCTGGTGTTCCATACTAACAGAGGCCCTATTAAATTTAATGTATGGGACACAGCTGGCCAAGAGAAATTTGGTGGCCTGCGAGATGGCTATTACATCCAAGGTAAGATGTGTGTGTATGTGTGTCTATTCTGTATCTCTTACAGTTCAATCCTTCATTCTATCCATGTCAGCCACTCTGAAAGCTGTCAGGGTGGCTTGCAGTGATGAGCTGGTTTCCGGGACTTCAAACTCTTCATGAAGAAACGGTAATTTCCTTTGCTAGGCAACTTATGCTGATGGGGGAATAGTCTAAGACTGTGTTTCAGCATGCTATTGCAGGCTTTGGTATTAATGTAGGGTAGTGGTGCACTTTGAGTGATGAGAGATTGCTCATGAAATTCAGTCATTAAGAGGTGAAAGTGTGTGTTTCAGTACAAATTTATATCTTTATTAATGTACTGTGCTGAGACAAGGACTTGGAACACGAAAGTGTAAAATTTTACGTATGATAATGAGGTTTTACGTTCTGTACCAGAGTCTGGTTGTCTTCCTAAAGAAGTACTGATAGTGTCCCATACTTCTGCTTGGCCAAGCTCTGTTCTGTGTGTACTTCAGTCACCTGCATGCCTTGAAAATTTTGCAAGGGATTATTAGAGTTTGAAATTGTTGCTTTTGTCTTAGAAGTATCAAGAATGTGTCAAGCACCTGTGTTCTTTGAAAAACTGTTTTGGACAAGGGTATCCCCCCAGGATGTGGACTACAAACTCTCAACCTACATGGAAGCCTCAATATGATGTCTGAGATTTACACAAATACTTAACAGAAAGTAAACGCCTATTTAACTAAAGTTGACTTTGTAATCCTTGTATCATCTCATATCATGCAACACCATGTTACAGTTGCATTGATAAAACTAGCTGGTGTTTAAGACTGGGTACTGAAGTTGTGAGGTAACAGTCATGGGCCAAGTTCTGTGGACTTGTATGTTGAACTTGTTAACGGAACATGGGCTCTCAGAACTCTGAATCTGAGAGGGAAAAGTTAATGCAGGTGCTTAATCCTTATGGTATTTCTATGGATATCTCTTCTCTCTCCCATCTTGAAAGCAAGTGTTTACTCTCCTGTTGTAACTCTCAACTATTATTTTCTTGCAGCTCAGTGTGCCATTATAATGTTTGATGTAACATCAAGAGTTACTTACAAGAATGTACCTAACTGGCACAGAGATCTGGTACGAGTATGTGAAAATATCCCTATAGTGTTGTGTGGCAACAAAGTGGATATTAAGGACAGAAAAGTCAAGGCAAAATCCATTGTCTTCCACAGGAAGAAGAATCTCCAGGTATGTTGTCATGAGTTTGTAGGAATCAAATATGTTGGGTCTGTTGACTGCAGTTGGGTTTTCTATGCAGTAATCAAGTGTTCTGCCTTTGTCACTACAGGCTGTAATATTTCAACTTTACATCTGTTGGCTGTTTGAACCTAACCTTCAGGGAAGGGCAAGGTGATGATGTTAAAGATGATCATCACTGGTCCTGAGCAGAAGCTGTGATGAGCTCATAAAGAGCTTGTGTGCATTTGGCTTTCACTGCTCAGAATCTCATCAGATGACACAGAAGTGAGACTAAAGTAGATCATGTCGCAGGAAAGATAGGTGCACTGTTGCCTCCTGAGAGTTCCATCTTTGATCTGATTGGATACCTTTTCAGTTATAAAGTTCTGCCTATTTGCCTGAAACTGTACATTTCTAGACACTTTAGATCATAATTGTTTCTGAGAGCATAAAGAACACTAAGGTAAAAATAAAAGTAAAACCAAGTGCATGTTAATCTTGATATGCACTAAATATCAGTTAGAGGTGTGTGGTTTGTTTTTTTTAATCATGTATTGTATGTACTTTTTTTTCAGTATTATGACATTTCTGCTAAGAGTAACTACAACTTTGAGAAGCCTTTCCTCTGGCTTGCTAGAAAGCTAATTGGAGATCCTAACTTGGAGTTTGTTGCCATGCCTGCTCTTGCACCACCTGAAGTTGTTATGGACCCAGCACTGGCAGCACAGTATGAGCAAGACTTACAGGTAAGTGACAAAGGACACAGAGGTTAATTGAGTGCCTGATAACTAGTGTCGGGACTCCTGGGGCACATAACTAAAGAACCGTTCTTAATTGTAACTTCTTTGTTTCAGATTGCTCAAACCACTGCACTGCCAGATGAGGATGATGACCTGTGAGGGATGAAGCTGGAGCCCAGCGTCAGAAGTCTAGTTTTATAGGCAACTGTCCTGTGATGTCAGTGGTGCAGCGTGTTTGCCACTTTATTATCTAGCTGAGCAGAACATGTGCTTAATCTTTGGGGTGCTGAAAGAGATGAATGGGCTTCGGAGTGAATGTGGCAGTTTAAAAAAAAAAAAAAAAAAAAAACCAACAAAAAAACAAAACAAAAAACCACAAAACAGAAACAAAACAAAATGAAAAAAAAAAACACAAAAAACTTCATATTTTGGACCTACATATTTAGCTGTTTTCTGGACTGCAATTACTTCCCCTTTTGAGTTTCAAATATAAGACTGCTGCAGTCACATCAGAGTGTTAAGTGGTAAATCTTGTTTCTGTCATTCCCATTCTTTTTTGTTTAGATAATAAAGTTGTATTTCAAATATCTCTAAGCAAGTGAACTTTCATGCATTGTTAGGAAAACTCTTCAAAGTGTCTTCTGTTCTTCAATTGAAGCTAATACTTGGTTGTCTACTGCATTTCTCATTCTGTTCTCCTTTTCACTCCTGCTTCTCATGTTATGCTCCTCTTGCTAAGTCAGAGCTAACAGTTAACCTTCCCTTGATTTCCTGAAGCATATAAGTAAAGCATGTGAGGAAGGCTGAACTAACTGCCAGGTAAAACTAAAGCAGTGAACACTTGACTGGTAGGTGTGACTGGATCAACATTCCCATGCAACAGGGAATGTTTGTGGTCTGCAGGGCGTCTTAAGAGAAGTGTGTAGTTCAGCTTGCGTATGCTACCATTACATAGAGTCTCTCAACTCAATATGTTCTACAATATGCCTTCAGAGCTCTGTATTTTTAGTAGCCAGAAGTAAATGGCATCTAGGTTTGTTAGGTGACTTAAGCTGTATCTTTGCATGGAACATCATTCAGTAGAGCTATAGCTGATTAAACAAACTCTAAACATCTTAAAATTCGCAAACAAGAAAACAGCTGTAATTTGAGCTAAAAAGCTCTTGGCTACAACACAGCATATTAACTGAAACCACACTTATATAAATATCTAGACTTGACTGTAACTGCACCAAGTTCTTAATTTGAAACTAGCTTACTACAGCACAAATGGTGGAAAATGTCAGCCTTTAACACTATCTTGTACAGATTAATCTTGGTCAATATTAGTACTGCTAGTGAACAAAACTAAGATACCATTTTTCAGTAGTGTTTGAGTACATAAAGCCTTGAACTCTTCAGTTTTGTATTTTTGGTTTCTTAATAAAGTGGAGCATTTCATTTATTCCTTTTAACTTGCATGTTTGTATACGTAACTCCTACTTGAATATTTAAGTATCCAACTTTTCTGGTACATGGTAGCAAAAAGTGTGGACTGATTATTCTGCAATACTGTTGTAAAGGAGTCATGTTTAAGTTAGTGCAAGTTGGAGTTTCTGTGGTTTGGTTTCCCGCTTGTTTTTTTTGGTTTTTGTTTTGTGTTTTTTTTTTTTTCTGTTTGTTTGTTTGTTTTGTTTTTGTTTTTTTTTTTTTAGCTAGTCAATGAGAAGCTGACTTGTGGTATTTAGGACCTGAAACTCGTTAACAAAAATAAGGAATGTCATACACTTAGTTTGTAAAAAGACAAACTCCCACTTAACATTCCATCGAATCTTCTTGCTGCATCATCTTGCTTCAACTTCACATTGTAGGTTTTTGCCGCTAGTGTTTACTAATTTACCTGTGCGTATCTTGGTTAATACTGCTAGCTTGACTATCTTGCTGCTCCTTTACTAGGTGTGGTAGCTTTTTTTGTCTTCAAGCTGTCTCACTTCTGAAAATGCACTGCTTAAACAAATTGGTTTAGAAAACTTCAGTACTTCTGCAGCATAGATATACCTTAAGAAGAAAAACCAGCAGCACTGAAGTTGTATTTATAGTGCTTGACAGCGTGTGTATGGTGTCATCTTTACAACTCCTTCTGCATGTGTGTACTAGCCTTAATATGAATTCCTATGAAACAGCTGAAAAGACTTATGAAACAGCTTTTTAAAGACTAGTATAACTGCTATGAACTTCGGTTTGTAATCTTCAGTATGCCTTCTCAGACCACGAAAACTCACCTCTGAAGTAGGCAGTAATACTAGCGCTGCTGTAATCTCTTCAAGTTGAAATGTTTGGGAGCAGAATTAAGTCCACTTGTTGCAGCATTATACTTTCACATAACTGTATTTGTCACATTTAGTCCCTGTTGATTATAATTAATGCAGGTAGCCTGAATATGCATGTGCAGATTCCTTGAATGAAGTTCCTTAACTAGAACAGTTCTTAAGTTTTTCACTAGTTGGGTTTAGGCAAAACAAAATCTATTTAGTCAAGTAGTGAGGAAAATAAAACTTGAATTCTAAGAACCTCTGTACTAAATACATCAGTCTGTATTAGAGCTCTATCGGAACTGAATTGAGGCTGAAATCCTTTGCAATACCTACTTTGTTCTACTTGATTGATTGCTGTATGGTTGGATCAGATTAACTGAAGGAGTTGTGTTTCCTACACACTCAAAAGTGAGTTTTCCCACACTAAGATCTCTTGTTTCAGATCAGTTTTTAGTAACTTGTCATTACAGATCATGCTCAGCTTTAACTTTCAAAAGCAGGATGAGGTGCTTGGCTGTTTAATGTTCCTAGTTCTCTGATAAAGCTGTGAGTGTAAGTGTTCAAGCTCAGAGGGCTGTATTGGAAGAGTAGCTGGAGAACTAGCGCATGTGCAAAATAAGTAAGGCAAAAGCATTTGTTCAAGACGCTGGCAGAGGAAATGTTTTGCCACTTCTCACTGAACCTTTAAATGAATACGTGCCCTTGGTTCTCTCAGGATTTCAACAGAGAATCTTTTCTAAAAACATGTGAGAACGCTTTCCTCCAAGAACTGAAAATCTCTATACCAAGAAGGTTGAAGTCTGTACCTCTTATGTGTGCAAGTTACAGTACAACAAAATTTAGCTTTGCCTTTTTCCTTTAGAAGTCATTCTGTTGGGTTACTAATACAGTTTTAGTCTAAACTAGTGGAGAAAACAGTGCTGAGACAAATTGTTCTTCTGCCTTCCCCTTCTTAAAACAGAAGTACATGTTTTGATGGAAGCTAGTTGTTTCCTGACCTGGACTGGTAGTACTGGTCATTTCCTCTTGCCTGAGTTTTGGCAACAGTTGGTTGGGCCCTCAAACCAGGATTGATAGCAATGTTACAAATAGCTGAAAAGCTAAATCTGCTGCTGCTTTGATCAGTTTGTTTTCACATGGGTGCATTAATTGATGGGCTTGTTTTGTGTGTGTCTGTGATTTTTGTGCTAAGCTGAAAAGTCTGCCTTTAAGAATCTTCTTTTTCCTGACACAAGCTGCTATGTGAACATCACATGGAGTTCTGCCTTGCACGTGTCCTGTAACACTTGATCATCTCTGCAAGTGGCCAAAATCGGGAAACGTTTTCAGCTGGAGACTTGGGTTGAGAGAATAGGAATGACTGTGCTGTCCTCAGCCAGTGGCTTTTTTAGACAACACCTAGGTTGGAACAGTGGAAACAGCTGTGGTGGTTCTGGGTCCTCATTGCCCTCAGGCTTGTTGCTAACAGATCTCCTGGTGCAAGCTATTGCCTTTCCAGCAAAGAGGGCAAAAAAGGACTGATTCCTCTGATTTAGAGCTTGCTCAGCTGCCTGACAAATAATGTCAAGTTAAACTCTGAAGAATGTTATGCTTGACACGAAGGCTTAATACAATAACCTGTTTAACAGTCTGTGGATCTTGCTGATGAGCCAAACCATAGCCTCTTTATATATCTAGTTATTGAATAATTGTAGGAGTGTTGAAACATAATGTGTGTTATTTATACCAAGGCTCTAGCATAGAGCCTAAATCTTAGGTTATAGGTTTGAGTGTATGAGGCAAATACCTTCAACTGTGTTGTGTGGGTACTTCTCGTTCACAAAGTGAACAGATTGTTCAGTGAGTGAATGACGCTTACCCAAAAATCACGTTCTACAAGCTGCATCACTGAAATGGGCCAATGTTCATATTAGGGCATTAGTTCAGTATAGGAATAGGTGGTTTGATTTTTACTTTGTTTTGGATAGTCATAGTTGATGTCTGTCTTGCTGTGATCCTGGAAGTCTGTGATTAAAAGAGTTGGATTCCCATATTTCTCCTACTTTCTTGAGAGGGAAAAAAAATTGAAAATATGAAGACTAATTTCCCCAAATATTAAACAGAATTTTTTATCTTACAGAACACTAATAGAAGTTTTGATGTTTGATCCACTGTTTCTCAAGTCATGGTTTTAATACATTTAATGCGAGCATTCAAAATCAAATTTAATTGATGTAGTTTCAGGTTACTAGGAGGCAATGTGCTCTGTTGTCTATTTCCATGTTGACACTTATTAATGAGGACTGAAAAGGGCAGCTGAAATGCAAACTCAGTGTAAAGTAAACAGTCATGAGCAGGAAGCTCAGAAGGTTGTTGTGATCAGTAACAACTAAGAAAACTTTAACCACTGTCCTTCCCATTGTGATTGTCCAAGTGACACAGTCACTGGTTATATACTCTGAAAAGTATCAGGATCTTTCTTGATACAGCTATTTAAGTTTTCTGTGCAAAGTGTTAAGCTAAAGATAGCAAATTGAGTGACTAATGTAAATGGTTATTTGCTCTGAACTTCTTTTTTCATTAAGAGCTTGTGTGAGCCAGTACCACAGTCTGATTTTCCAGTTGTAATTCCTATTGCTGCTACTTCATAAGCTTTTCCCTACACCAAACTAGCAGTAACTTGCTGATGACTTTTTTGCATCATTGGAAGCAAAGTGTGTTTTGCTTCTACTGAGAATATAAAAGAAACTTAACTTTCCCACCAGACTTTTTCGATGGGTTATACCATTTAAAAAAATTGTTAAAATTTCCAGTTCTCAGGTTGAGTTTGCAGGGCAAGCATTTAGGGGAAGAGCTCAAGCCAGAGAGCTTTGTTCCATTTATAAATAAAAAGGTGGGTCATAATAAACAAGAAATCTGTCTGCATTTTTTTGGCATTATTCATTGAGTTTTGATTCTGGAGCTAGCATTTTTATTTCTTGTATGTGGATGTTTTGTTTTACTTGAATACCTAAACCGCTGTCTAGTTACAAAACTTATTTCAAATTATAGCAGACAAGTACAGTATTTCTTCAAAGATTACATATAAAAGAGCTGTTTGAGACGCATCATCTGCCAGTCAGAAGTGCAGATGTTGCCAGGTACGAGGCTTAAACCAGCTCACTGCTGAACGAGTCTGATAGAGTTTAAACAAAAAATAAGCTTTGTTATGGAGACCGAGTGGTTACTGCATACTACTTTTCTCTCGCTAGCAAGTAGACTGTGTAGCGCCTGAGAGGAGAAGGCAATTCCAGGCTCGACTGAAACTCGTCTCTGCCGGGA